CACACTTAAGGTGTTTTGGAAATCAATCGTTCTACCCATACAGGCCTCGGAAGCATTGGCTTCCAAGACCTGACCACCCGAAAACCCTTAATTGTAAGGTTTGTTTCGCCATTTAGCTTTCGAGTTTTAACTCCGTAAGAGCATTCTTCTGCTTGATTCGATCCTCAGGCGGCCAATCAGAAGGATAAGAATACTTAAACCACGAGTTTTGTATGAGTTACTCAATATAACGTTTCTTTCACCGAAATCCCCGAGTACCAACTTCGAGAACCTTTTAAAAATTTCATGCAAATAAATATAAATTCAAGACCCTTCTTGGCTGGGTCTCTCCTCCAACCCATTTACCGAGTCTTATTACTTTCGTCAGATGTACTCCTGAAACCTATTCAGGCAGTACACTTCTAATGACAGATTCCACTAACTCCAGGTCGTGTCCATAGGTTTTAGCAGCATCATTGTCTTTAGATTCCTCTAGATTCTATATAATTAAACTAGGAACTGACGTAACTTCTTTTATAGTCATGTTCACGGCTGTGGTGTCAGATCCTGAATGTTAGATGTTGGCAGCTTACCGTTAGTTGTATTTTTGTAACAGGGTCGTGGGAATCGAGCGAATGACTCACGACAATGTTTGATGAGGCCAAAAATTCACAATCTACGATAGGGTTAAATATGATCTTACTTTGGAATTTTGGAGAAGTAACCTGCGACGCAGAATATGAGGCTATCGAGGACATTTAAACTAAAAAGGTGCTGTTTTTGGATATCTATCCTATTATATGTTTTCGCGTCATCCATTTCCCATCAGTCGCAGCGTCTATGTTAGAACTACTAAAGACGATAATGGTTTCGTCCAGGTCATTAGTCACTGCTGCAGCAACTTGGCGTATCTCTCAATAGTCGTTTCGAGATAGAAAGCCCTATTGCGCGTTGCACTGTCGGGTGTCTGTCATGTGCATTGGCAGTACGTACGACACTGACGCATTCTTCGCCATCAATGTTTAGATTTATTATTCACTATTTATGTGTGGCAGAAGTGAGTAGACCAAAACATTTTTGAATATCATCCCCTAATTAAAATGAGGTCTTTGACAATTCCCGACGTGTTGAGTATTACAGTTTTTTATATTGCTGAATTGATCTCATATGTCGATAGGAAGTTGGAGTTTCGTAAACCAGTGACTTTTCTCAATTGCAGCAGAGCTAATAGAACCACATAATAATGTATCAAGTATGAAAATTATGGCAACAAGTCACGGGGATCCACAAGACCCAGCGAATTTAAGTGACATGTCGTTGATATCCAGGAGAAGATACCAGACGGCCTGTAATAGCAACGACTGTTTCTGAACACAAAAATGACTGTCTTCTTATTCGGGATAACATCTCTGATACAGAACTTCTCGTTGACGCTGGCGTGGATGATAGCACGTTCCCTCCAACATTATCAAAAAAAAACGCTACAATAACCAGTAACATCATTATAGAAGTGGCAAAAGATTCTCACTTCCCTACTACGGTGAACAATCTACTATACAAGACTTCGGTTTGCGTCGTCGTCTATCACGGAGCTTCATTGAAGCTCAGATAAAACCATCTCGTTAGAAAGCACTTATCCTAATTTTCCATAAATTGCTTGTTAACATAAACGAAGAAGAGTTTATAGGTACGTGCACCCGAATTCAGATTGGTGGCGTAGTTGATGACAATGCGATATGTCGTATTTACTTAGCGAAACCGACGATCAGCACCTTCAACGAGGTTTGATTTGAGTACTACAGAAGTGCGAGAACCGGAAGGTGATGTGGTACATGTGGTTAATGACGCAACCAATCGTAGTTCATGGCCAGGAGGATGGGTTGATAAGTGCGAGTATAAAAATGGCTTCATACGCTACATGAAAGAACGTAGTCTGAACCGAATAAACAATGGTTCGTTAGTTCTGTTTTTGTTGTAACTTGTGGATTGAATGTTGAATGTCTTGGCTCTTTTAGTGCTACTTTTTATGTGTGGACGTCACTGATTGTTGTGTCGGAAACGCTTATAGAATTATGGTCTACTATGATATAAGTACTGCGTTAATAATAGACCTAATCCTAAAATTGTAGATTTGTCATGATAGAACTGCCTAATATATAAGATCTTAGGTAGAAGTCATAGCATCGTCTACACCAACTCATCGTATCGTAACAATCACCAATACATGATGTAGAACAAGCTTAGGCTAGAGAAAGAACAATATATTTAATATGAATAGAAGATATAAGGTAACATTCAGCAGAGACCATGCCTGCATGGCCGAGTCATGCCACTCGATCAACCCCAGTAGATTCAACTCATTATTCGCGCCTTCTCCATCGTTAGGTATTTCTCCGCATAAATATTGAATATCTATTTTCTGAGCACTCTCGTGTTCACAGCTTTGTGGATTGTGTGGCTATTGTCTAATGCCACTACATACACATGTTATTTTCTATTTTATGGTACGTTGTGGTCTGTTTGATTGATATACTAACCGAGTATGTCTGAAATAAACGATTCGATCCGATCCGATTCATATTACGGGAACTGGTATTGCGTTCTGGACTCAAGTGGAATTGAATTAGAACGGAAGTAATGTTGAACAAAACTCGTAATTAACAGATCAACCGAATTTTGTCTTCTTACTACCATATCAGCTTTCAAGCCAAATATTAGCATTTCGGTTTTTACCGTGGTATCGACTGTAGTTGCTGCATAGTTTGTAGTAAACTGCTTGTAATAGTTATTGCATTTCCTTGTAGTTTGCTGCAGTGGCTAATAAGTTGTTCACGTAGCTCTAAAATTGTTCCGTACATTATTTCAACGGATGCGCATCATATGTCCTTTCTTACCACTGATCGTATCTCTAGGGGAATGAGGAAAATGGCATCACCATGTTTGGCTTTATTAGCCAGAGACGTAAGCGAGCTTGGAGACGTCTAGACAGGTCGGAAAATTTCTCAGGCTGTTAGAAATTCGTGCGGTGTACTATTGTATCAAGAAATATTGCTACACTATGGCTTTACATATCAAGGTGAAATCACTGCTAAATCATGTGTTTTTGAAATAAACTTGGACTCACTTGACGTTGATTGACAGTATACTAAATCTACATTCTTAATCACTGAATAACATGTCTGCAAATACAGAAAGCTCCGACGATAAAGATGACACGAAAAATCAAATCAAGGTCCTCCAAACTGTCTAAAGGTGTGAGCTGCTGATCAAGAACTCTAGCTGCTTCCCAATCAAATCCAAACAGCATAACTGTTTTTTACGAAACAGCCAGTACATTATGTTGCATTTCAAAAACTGACAGAGAAATGAGGCACTCTGGAGTTATCTCTCTTGTGATGTACTCTGCTTGGAAGACACTAACATTGATGATCGAGAAAGAAACTCATGATATTAGTATATATGCTGACATTTCAACTGATCTAAATGCCTCTCTGGAACACCACCATCTGCAACCTGTAATTAAAGACGTGCATGATAAGTTGATGAAAAATATTTTGCGAAATTAAATATTAGCGATGCATATATACCGGTGGGGGTTTGATTGTAAAACCACAAACGTCTCACCACCAACACATAGAAAGGGTTATTCGAATGTAACTTATTGCATTTTGGAGTTAAAATTGCCCAGTTATCTTTCAAGACATAATGGGTGCTGCGATACGAAACATCAATGTGGCTGCATTATACCTAGATGTTATAATCATTGTGCGAGGTCTGAATACTGAACTTAGATAAAGAAGTCCAAGAGTTTTTAAGTATGTTGGGAAATGGGGTTCGACTGTACCCAGAAAGATTCTTACTTCCTTAAGTTCAATTACGTATTTATCACTAGTGCCACTGCGATCGAGAAAATGTCAAAAGTAATCAAAAAGCGCCTACATAGTACTTCAGTTGCATACTACTACCCTTTTGCAAAGGCCGTTTTCATCACAAATAGTGAGTCTTACATCGGCAGTACTAAGAGTTTATAACATCACTTACCGAGGGACCGATGGTCCTTGTCATGAGAAAAAAAACGTGCTGGGGTATCCAGAAAAATATCCCAAAAATTATTCTGTTAAGTCCAATGCTATCCTTGGACTTGAGATGGTATCATTTTCCGATTGGTCGATATTTATTTCACGCGTCATTTTCCTACTGGTCAATACATATTTCATGTGTCATTTTCCTGTTGGCCATATATTGTACAAATGTTATTTTCTATTTTATGGTAGGATGTGGTCTGCTTGATTAGTATATAAACAGAGTATGTATGAAATATAATGATTCATATCTCAGAGGCTGAGACTTGTGTTCTGGACTTATCTAGCTAGGCTAGGTGGAAAGCAGGGCCAATCAGTACTCTAGACTGCTCGCACGTGTTTACGCGTCATTGTTCCCATCGATAAGTCACTGCCCTTTAATCGGCGGTCATAAGTTATAATAAAAAGATTTAATGAAGAGTTTGGTTGATTGACGAGTATACTAAAACTTCACAAACTCATAACCGGTTTCTCAATGAGAACATGGAAATTTTTGCCAAGAATTTACTATAACGAAACCTAAAGGTTAATAGGCAAATGAATTTACAATAAAACCAAAGCTTCAGTTGTATAACGGGATATTAACAAATTGCAGTCTATAATTTTCAGATGATAGTAAATACCGGTGAGAATTCTCGATTACAGTTAACCATAATAAATGTTGTTTACGAAAAGCGAATATCCGGCGCTTTAACCGGATTCCAAACCAATGGTGCACATGGGCTCCAGTATCCTGCGGGAACAAATGGCGTATGAACCAATTGTTGGTCACCGGCTACCATGGGACTGCATCTCCTTACGATGCTCCACTGCCTTGTGGATCAGACCTTTAGGTCGAAAGCTCGGGGGGTGGCCCCCTAAGGTAACCACCTGCTTCGGTTTGGGCACCCGGGCAGTATCACAGCCCACACACACAAATATGGTGTGACACATATATATTTGGTGCCCTCTTGTACCAATATTTATGTGTTAAAATAATAATAAGAAATGTACGAATGGTGAGATGGATATTGCTATAAAAACCTCTTAAGTTAGTCTATTTAATACTAAACAAACCTCCTTTAGATAACTAAAATTCGAACTTTGTTTAGTTGATGAAATGGATATTTTTTTTTTAAAAAAAAAGAATAAAAACCTGACAACAGTAATGATCCTCCATTGCTTCCTTTACTCATTTACATAAAAACAGAGAAGAACAAACTCAATTATAAACATTTAGAATAAAATAAATTACTACACATGTATACTTGTTAAATATACAAGAGAGTAAAGAGAATAAAACTAACAATACAATTTATGATAGAATATTAAGTAACAAGTACAACTAAACTGGTACATATATTCATCACGTAAAACAAAAAAGATCAGTCAAAAATTAACACCAACAGCGCATATAGACATAACTATGGAACATAAATGACGATATGAAGAGAAGATGAAAAGAAGCATACAATAAAGAAAAAAGTACAAACAAACAAACCAATGAAATAATCAAACGGACAATAGAATCCATCAAAATTCATTCTATTCAAAGTCTATCAAGAATACAATTTATAAAAAAAAGTGTAAGTCATTAAGGTTTAATGAAACAATGATACACATATAAAATTCATCAATTACATCAATACACATAAACGCATTAGTTTATTCATCATTATATAAATATGCAGTGAATTGGACAATGATGAACATATTGAGCATAATTTGACACGTAAACATTAGTTTACATTTATAATAAATTAATTATGGAGATAACAAAAAACAAAATGAGTAAATTTAACAACAAAAAAAACAAACAAACAGATAAAGCCAACATTTAAAACAAACAATCAGGATTACCAAACATAACAATACTACTACTCTGTGTCCTTAATTTCCAGATCATAGAAATGCATAAACAGAACACACACGCACACACACACACAAAAGACAACTTGACAACAAGAACAAAGTATCATTGAGAGGAATGGAAAACAGTAAACAGTAACACATTTAAACAAATATTTTTGAGAAAAAAAATAATACGAAATATCAACTATTTGATTTCATTTACAATTAGATTGGCAGCAGACAAACGTTGAAATGCAACAACAACAACAATAATAATAATAAAAACAAGCAAATAGGTGTAATAACCATTAGAAATTACGAAAACAATTGTGGAAATGTAACATTGGGATAGAAATACATTATTATTATTATTATTTTCATTACTATGTGTAATGCAAAAGATTATTGATAACTGCATGTTCCATTAATATCCATCCTGATTGCATGAATAGAAGATAAATGTTTTTCTATATAAAAAAAAAGTAAAACAAACATTTTTAAAAAGTAAGACAAATTAAATGATCGAGATATACTATTTATTTGGACATTTTAGGTAGTATTATATTCTCCTAGTGGTTGTTGTGAGATTATGAAAACCTCCATATTTAAGAGGAAGCATGGAATACAATGGACGATTTGAACTTCTCAGATGACCTAACTCTTACAACACATACATACCAACAAATGCAGATGAATACAGCTAGTGTAGTACTAGCCTCTGCAGCAGTATGACTCAATATTCACAAGGGGAAAAGTAAGGTCTTCAAATACAACACGGAGAAAACCAATCCAATCACACTTGATGGAGGAATTCTGGAGGTGGAAGCCTATACATACATACATACATACATACATGAGCAGCATCGTCGATAAACAGAGAAGATCTGATGCAGACGTGAAGATCAAGATTAACAAAGTAAGAGCAGCATTCCTACAGTTGAAGAACATATGGAACTCAAAGCAACTGTCAACCAATATCAAAGTCAGAATCCTCAATACGAATATCAAGACAGTTCTACTGTATGGAGCTGAAACTTCGAGAACTACTACCATGATCATCGAAATGTAGGAATGTTTTTGAACAATTGTCTACGCAAGATACTCCATATCCGTTGGTCGAATACGACCAGTAAGAACCTACTGTGACAGAAAACAAACCAACTTCCAGCTAAATATGAAATTAGGAAATGACGCTAGAGGTGGATAGGACATATATTGTGGGAGTCATCAAACTGCATCACGAGGCAAGTCCTAACTTGGAATCCTGAAGAGAAAAGGAAAATAGGAACACCAAGGAATAGATTGCTTTTTGAATTGGAAGTAACTGGAAAGGATTACCCAGAACAGAGTTCGATAGGGAATTTTGCTGAGTGGTTTATGCTACTCTTTAAAAAGTGGACGTTGATTATGTTGTCCAGAACGACAACAAGAGCTATACAATTAACCCAGATAACTATCACCAAAAGTACATTTGCACACATGATTTCAATCTTAATCTTGACCCTACATAAATAACTTATTCTTATTATAGCACAGAGCAATGACAAATTTATCACAACAGCTCAATAAATGGAAGCCAATTACTTAATTTGAAAAGCCTTTAAATTCATCATATTCCACATATCAATAAACAATGACCTACTACGATGATTAGAAAACGTGTTCTGAATGCAACAGATTTTTATTGAATTCTCATCATTATTATTGTTATTACAATAATTTGACTGTTATGTTATTTTATTTTCTTAATATGATAGGAAAACTTGAGCTTATACACATCAGTACTATTGTGGTGTGCTACTTATATTGATATAAGTAGTATATGTCGCGAAGCAGAAGATGAGGTGAAGATCAAAAAAGGAAGAGCGAGAGCACAATGGAATGGGAGACAATGGATTAGTGTTTGCAACGGAAACAGTCCAATTTGATATGATGCATTGATATTTTGCAAATTGACGATAGACTTTATGGTATTCAGATTTTATTGAGATAGTTTGTAATTTTTGTGCTAAATACATTCGATTGTCCCCACCCGTGTTCTTGTTCACTACACTATGATCTACGTTTGATTATGATTAATGCAATTGACATAAATGACTAATATAATGTTTGAGTTTGTCATACTTGAAGCATTGTCAAATAAAATTCTTAATAATTTGGTCATCACATATAAACAAGCAGAGACATTCAATACAACCTTTTCCATTTATAAACTTGATTTTAGAAAGAATAAACACTGTAGCAAAATAACATGAATTCATCTATTTCATCCATTCTCCTCAGATGTTTATGATCTAAAATCATAATATTAATCATTATATTAACCGTGTAATCGCTAATCATTCGCTCGACAACGGATATGATGTTAAAATTGTGAAGAAGCTGTTCGAATAAAAATATTTCAGTTCAATTTATGTATCTAACAAGTAACAGTACTAAATCTAGTTTTATCCTATTGACCTTAATTTTGTGAGATTATTATGCAAGGACATTTTTCCACAAACTTTAATTGAAATTTCCAATACCATAATTTGACCATTACTCAACTAGTCCCGTAGGTATGGTATGTGCTTTGCACCTTCCAAGTGCAAAGTACTTCTACAAGACTAGCAGGATTCCAATCCTGTACTCACCCAGGATGGTGAGCAGATAGACGTAGTCGAGAAGTTCGTGTATCTGGGTAGCTGCATAAGTGCTGGTGGGGGTGTGAGTGATGAGATCAATACACGAATAGTGAAAGCCAGAGCGGCTTATGCCAATCTGGGCCACCTTTGGCGCCTTCGTGATGTTAGTCTGGCTGTAAAAGGTCGGATCTACAACGCGTCGGTGAGAGTAGTTTTGGCTCTATGCTTGTGAAACCTGGTCTTTCCGAGTTGAGGACGTTAAACGACTCTGTGTTCGATCATCGTTGTCTCAGAAGGATTGCTGACATTCAGTGGCAACAGCATGTCAGTAATGCAGAGGTTCGGCATCGTGTGTTCGGGCACAGAGATGACAATTCAATTGGTGTCACCATCTTGAAACACCGACTTCGGTGGCTTGGACATGTTCTCCGAATGTCGTCCCAGAGAATTCCACGTCGTGCATTAGTTTCCGACTCTGGGACTAGTTGGAAGAAGCGGAGAGGTGGTCAGTGCATGACATGGTGTCGTGGCATGAAAGAAAGCTACAAAGGACTGGCTTCTGTTGGTCCTTCACGACTCACTGGTTGGGGTCCGACAGATGGTGCGACACAGTGGCTAGAGACGTTATCAGATATGGCTCAGAATAGAAGCCAGTGGCGATCCTGCTGTAATCTTCTTTTACTTTCTTGTGTCTCCCTTACCTGAAAGATTTCTTCCGATTGAACCTTTGCGTTCCCTCATTACTACCACACTACCTTACACCAATCTCTTCGTTATTGTTCTCTTTTTTTTTCTATTTCTCTTCGAATTCTCGTTGTTTTGTGTGGCGCATATATACTGGCGCTCTCTTGTACCAATATTTATGTGTTCAAATAAATAAATAAATAAATAAATTACTCAACTGGTCTATACTGCATAAACTATCTTTGGTTTCAAAAAAATTCTGTCTCCATGCTTCCTTTTCTAGAATATTTATATATTTAGTCTGTAAATAAGCAAACGTTTGTACGCTGTTAATTCTTCTGTATTATTGTCTTTAAATATGATCCACATATTAACTTAATTTATTCTAGACGCATTCTAATATAAAGCGTATACATTTATTTCATTTTAATGATTTATTCTATAGTTTTAAGTTGTAATAGCTAAATAGGATTGATGAAATAAACAAATTCATGTTATTCTGTCATGATATTTGTTCTGTCTTTATTCAAATATACTGATAGACAGTTAAATTTAATTTAAATAGTTGAAATCATGAATCCATTGAAACTCGATCACCATGGAAAACCTGGACGGCCGTCTTGTTCTATTGTGGGACTACTCCTCTCAAAACAGTGTACATCTACGATCTCTTAAGGTGTATTATATCAAGGTAAATATTAATTTCTTTTTTATTAATACATTTTATCAATTGATTCTTATTCGAAGGAGTGTATTATTATTTCTTCTTATTTTCGCACTAAATCATTATATTAACACAATACAAAACACAATCATTGTGACACAATAAAAAAAAGAATAAATTTCTCTTTATATTACTAATATGAATCAAATGACGCAAACTACATAGATGAAGTATTCTCTGTATATTATAAACATAAATGTAGTAAAAATTGTAAAACATAATACGTAAACAATATTGATGTATACATATAAATAGTATCAAGAGAATTCCCTATGAGTGAACTAAATAAAAATGCACCTTCAGTAGGAATATAAATGAATGTACTGGCATTAAATCAGAATATCGTTACCATAATTTGTCATGAAATTATTGAAAGATTAAGGTTTTGCAAATTTATAAATACTTTCGAGAAATACGAATAGCATTGTGGTGTATGCTACTGATGTCGACAGATATAAGTAGTATGAATCACTAATCGAAAGTGGAATGTTTGGCGTCAGAAGGTTGAGAAAATCGAAGAGGAAAGAATAAGAACAGAGAGTGATTAGTATGGAAACGAATGAACAACAAAGTCTGAAACAATTGATGGATATTTTGCAAACGAATTGTCTACTGTATGGTTCACAGATTTTACCAAGATATTCTGTAATATTGTATTAAAATACATTTAGTTGTCCCCTTTTGTGTTCTCGTCCACTACAGTATCAGCATATGATTTATGTTTATTTAGTAAATTACAATGAAAGTACGCAAATAATTAGATACAACAGTCCTGATAGATAAATGAATAGTTAAAATACTGTGATTATTAACTACTTCCTACTTCTGTCGTCTAACATATACACTAGTAAAAAAATGTCATATTATACAAGCAGCTTATTGTATGATTTATAAAATTTTGAACTTTAAAACAATGACAATGATGTAAACTTAACTTGAGCTCAAGAATTAACAGTTAATTTATGATGTTTATCCGAATACAAATGGAATAACGAGAAGCTCATTTTGGATGTAATGAAAACGTTTCGACAGTGTTGAATGTAATAATTTACGATTGTAGCTACTACCTTGACATGGTTATTGAGCATGTATATCGTAATGACTAAATTAATCTATATTGTTTCCAACACTCGTTCTATGAGGTCCTATAGTGCCAGGCATGTTGGATGAAAACAGTAAACGCATGGCATGCAAGGAGGAGTCTTAATTCTGACTATGCAGAGGTATGACAGTGTGGTAAACGAGGAATTGGAGGAGATAACCAATTTATTGTTTAACGCAAAATCACACAATGGTTTAGTAAAATATGAAAATTATACATTAAATGCCTCATTTGCATATCTTCATTGCGTTGTACTGTACACACTCCATCATTGCTCTAATTCTGTTATTTCGATTGCGCCCAGATATTCTTCCTATTCTCTTCATTACAATCTTCTACTACCAGGCATTTTACTTCCGATTGGTGCTATATACTTCTTATGTCTATCAGCATAAGTGGCATACACCGCAACAGTAGAAAAATGTCTTTTTAACCAATCAGCATTCTCTCAACGAAAAAAGAGGTTAGGAGTTCCATCAACAATGGTAAGGAATTGTAAGTATGTGGAGAGCTCATCACAAGAAATCTGCATGCAACTGCTATTAAGCAGTTGTTTCATGAGCATTGGGATCACATCCCAAGGTAAGGACATAAAACCGAAAACGCAAATAATTTCAGTAGAAAAGAAAAATTTATACATGAACATCGAATTCAAGGGTGACAGAGTCACATACATTTTAAAAAGGAGAATTTCTGATTATTTAAAAAGAACATTTTTCACAGCAAGATTGCGAATAATATTCACCAGCCGATCATTGTTCACCAATAATCTTAAAGATAAATTATCGCATCTGATCAACTCAATATGTATTTACCAATTTACCTGCTCATGTGGAGCTAGGTATATAGGTCGCTCGATGCGTACTTTATCTAAAAGAATTCAAGAACATTGCCCGGCGTGGCTAAAAAGAGGAGGCAACGGCTTAATAAGAAGTTCAACAATCGAACACTTTGTGAACACAGGTCACTCAATCAAGACAGACTGGGTTCAAAGTCATCTATAAGGTAAGCAGAAGTCTTCGAAAGACAATTAGACTGCATATTCTTTGCATTACCGAAGCATTAACCATATATCTAGAAAAACCAGAATTGTGTGTGCAAAAGCGACTGGTACAACCTCTTCTTCTACCATGGTCTTATAGTTTTTTTCTCTTTCCCTATACTCTTCTTCCTTTACAGACGTCTGCTTCACCTTCCATCTTACCCCTTAATCTTCTATCCCCAACTGGTTCATTTTGTTCCCACGACCATCCTGATTATATTTTACCTTATTATGCTGAGCCGTCCTTTCCCAATGATAATTTCCCTTTTTATCTTTTGATGAATACTTAGGCCATTAACAACCAAACGATTATTAAACATTCCTTGCTATAAAATTTTTTTAATACCTTTGTTTATTTAGCCTCACTGTCACCATATCTAACAGAAGTTTATTATCAGTATTATTATCATCCTGTAAAATAAGTATATATATATATATATATATCTGCGATTGTACAGCTTTGAAAATGAATTCGCCGAAAAGAGAACTGTTCGCTGAACTAATCTTTCTTATTTAAAGTCTTAATGGGTGTATTCCGTTTACTTGAATGCAACTGCGCCATTGCGAACGATTCTGAGCGATGTCAACCAGACTCTGTAACCATAGGTCACGATAATCGCACAGACACTCCCCACAACCAGGTAGCCTGCATTTACCTATGTGGCTCAGTCCGACAGTTAGATGAAAAATATATTCAATAACATACAATGTACCGAATTCCAATTACTATAAAACGAATCAAATTTGTTGTATGAAAGTTAGCCATTCACTCATAAGGTAGAGCAAATGCAACATGGTAATTCGAACAACACAATATTAACAAACTTGATTGATTAAAACTTCACTTACCCAAAATCAGAATACTCACAGAACAGTAACCACAAGTAATTAACTTCTAACTCAGTAATTGAGTAGTGCTAGAATCAGATGGCATTCCATTTGGATTACTGTTCAAAGTATCTGACGAGTTAGTTGAATATGGGACTGTATTATTACACACTGCACCGTTTGTGTTTATCTTCTCATTGTCACTATAAATGCCTACAGCGACATCACCAGTGATGGACTCAAGTTTTTGTACAGTTGTTGCACTTGAAGTAGAGTCCGTAGACATACTCGATGTCGCCGTATCCATGGCAGCACCATCAGGAACCTCAGAAATATTACCACAATTTGATGATTGAGAACTTGAAATACCATTTTTCTTCAACGCACTGAAAGACTTCGTATGACCTGATATCTGCTGACTAAGATCTGGAGTTTCTTCAACATGAAGAGATTCTTCTACAGAAGAGATTATATTTGAAGGACTTCCACTATACTCTGTATCAATGATATCTTCATTAAAAAATCGATCTAAACGAGATGCATATTCAGAAAATAATTCAATATCATTATGACCTGCTCCTTCAATCCAAGCTGGTTCAAGAGGATTAGTAAGACGAGAATACAATTCTCTTCCATGATCTATGCCAATGATCTCATCATCAGTTCCATGTATAATTAATGTTGGTGAAAGAATCCGAGATACTTTATCAATGCTAAACAATACCCAAAAAATGAACAAGTAGTAAGTTGTTATGTAATAAAAACCCACAAACAAAAACTTGAAGACCACTTATAAAAAAATTATATATTGACAAAAATATAATCGAGTCTTAATTATGAGTAACAATGAATATGGAACGATTGTCGTATTTGTTTACAAATTACGAAAGAGAGAAACTGGTATCGTACGTCAGTCAGTAACAACGTAGAACTTCGTACGTACGTACATTAGTTCGAGTTGCCACACCACATTAGCACACAGATGCAGTGGTCGATTCAAATCCCGTAATGGTAGAGGTAATAAGAGTATAAGCAGTAATCGGGAAGATTAGTGTTTGGAGATGTTACTTAAAGAGTATAATACAGTGAAATAAATTTGAGAGGAGAAAAAACAAGAGACAAGGTATCGTACGGAATACAGAGAAATATACTCATCAGGGAATAAAAAGTGCAATGCATAAAAAATATTAAAAAATTAGAAAAGTACATTACACCAGTTTATGTAGATTTTAAAATGTAAACATTTCAAATGAAACTATGAAATAGTAATTTGTACTCCTTATTAATGAAATATGGATTAATAAGACTAATTTAATGAAGAATCTAATTTACTGAAAATTGGTCAGTAGTTTAATTAAGGTCATTTTATAATTTACTTCAATATCATTTCAATTCACATCATCTCTTTACTACTATTTGTTATGAAGTAAGATTTTATGAAGAGGAGTTTGGATCATTAAGTAAATATATAGGGATTTTAATCGATAGATGGGATGGGATGATACAATATAAGCGGGAATGGCTGTTTATCAGACCGAATTATTGAACTCATACCCGAAAAGACAGCTTAACAGTGGAAGAGGGTTTTACTTCTAACAAAACAATATGCTTACATTGCAAAATATTGAACACAAGAATAAATATGAATAGAAACCATAAATAAAGTGTTCAGGGATATAGAAACTACAGACACTTACAAAATTAGATACAACTGTTTGCAGAAAATTGGGCTTTGGTTCAATAATATTCATTATTATTAAAAACTTGAAGATTTTCTGTTTTATGTGATTGAAAAAGTACCCCAAGATCATGGGTTCTAATAATCGTCACTCTGAACGGATTATCTACATCAGATGAAAAGGGGAAGAGTACACAACAAATGCAAAATCAGACACACCACAACCAACCTTGTTAATGTAAAAGACAATATACTGAAGAATTCACAAGTTCATTTTATCTACTATGAGCTGGGTGGTTTGGCCGTGGACCTTTCATCGTTCTTCTGAACATCGGCATTGGGTAGAAGAGAAGCATTCAAATTTCTTCACGTATGACTCTTAGCTTGTCCTGTCGACCTCGATCTTGATTGATTGTTGTTGATCTTTAACCTGTCATCGTCTACCTGTTTATTTTGATTGTATCCCCTTTGATCTGATTCTTGGGTATATATTTGCCAATGGCTTTTCTGATTGACTGGTAGATTGGATCGATTTCGATGTGTTAGTTGGTTGCTCAGTGCCGAGCTTTTAAAAGTCCCCTTCTGTCCTTAGCAATCCCACTATCCAAGATCCTAACATTTCCCCAGTTGAATATGTATCCACAGCTGTTCACATGAATTGGTAAAAGTGAAGATATTTCATGGCGTTTGACCGCTAATTGATGTTCATGAAGGCGAAGATAAAAGAAGCGTCCACTTTGTCTGACACAGTTTTTCGCAATTGGAACAGTTTATTTTGTAGATGATGTTCCGTTTTTCTTTTTTTGTCAACAGCTCAACCTGCTCAACTACCGAGAAATCCAACAGAGCTTGAAAAACGTGGAATATCTCTAGCCATAGGTTTACACACTATAATATCATGCCACAAGACTGACTTTGATGATATTGAGATTATTCAGAAAAAATTTAAAAATAATTTTTTAAAAATACATTTCATAGCAGAAGCAGCTCACACAAAATGGAACCCAAATTTCGATAGAACAATGAGAAGACGGAGTTGATCTGAAAAATGTGATGTACTTGAGCTATACATTTCGAACAATCTGGTCACACACATATACTTGTCAGGGTGTTTTATCTTTAAATTAATAAAGGTCAATTAAATGAAGGTTCAAGTAAAAAAGCAACAAAGGAGAGAGGAACAATTTTACATCGTATAGAAAGAATAAGAAATTGTCGCGTTATCCTAGGCCATACAATGACTTAAGGATTACCAGGGTACATTCAAGGTTACGACAAATTGTTTTTGTACACATAAGGGGGGAGGTTTAAATTTCCGAATAGCCAAGGCTATAATGAACCTGAGAATTCGGCCTTGACAATTTCTATACAACGTTTTAAAAGCTGTACTAATATCAATTTTGTGCCCCGTTTCAATTATGTGATTCGCTTTCGCTGAACCTGATTTTCTACCACCTACGTTGATCGGATCATTTCACAAACAATGATTTTGAAGCCATCTAGGCACATATTTACTGGCCTTTGATTGCATTGTTCGATTACTCTTTCCTATGTATGTGTGTTCACACAAACATGTAAACTGGTAAATACAATGGGATATGACGTAATCATTAGTTCATTGTCTAGGTCTCTCTGGAATCATGGGCTTAGACTTTTCAATCACAACCAATAGAGCAGTATAATAGGTTTTCTCTATGGCTGCTTTCAATCTCTGTCTTAAAACTATACTGTTGGATTCACCTATATATGGTAGATGGATATAAACTTTTTTCTTTGGAACTGAATAAACAAGAGGTCTTGGCATTAACTGACTTTTGCACTTATTAATAAACTTTAGTAGTTAACCATTTGCTATTAATGTGTCAGTCAGTAACTTTTTATCTTTTTCCAGAAGTGTCAGAAGTACAAATTCTTTGAGTTCTCTTAAAGAGACACTTAATCAAGCCTCGCTTGTATTGCAATGGACAGAAACTATGGAAATTTCAGTATTGCCATGTCCATGTTGGTTTCCTATACACTGACTGTCTTATAGTGCCATCCTCCCTTCGACTTCAAAGCATGTCTAAAAAAGCCATTATTTTCTGCTTCATATGTCATCACAATATCGTTTTGAACCCCATTGAGTTTATCTAATAACCGGTAAACATCAAAATCTTTATCACATATAATTAGAATATCATCTATGTATCTCCTATATAAAGTTGCCTCACTAATGAGCTCGCTCGTCATATTTTCCACATATGACATAAATACATCAGCTAAGAGGGGCCCCAAAGGGCTACCCATAGCTACACTATTAACTTGTCGAAAATATTCACCATCAAACGTGAATTGAACATTGGCAGTGCATAATAAAATTAACTCTTTCAACAATGGTAACCGAATAGAAAAATGGGGAAAATCGGTAGATATATAGCCACAAAGGAAATCCACCGTCATTGTTAACGATACATTCGTAAAGAGAGAGTTTACATCAAAGGAATTCAAATTGTCTGAATAGGAAATGCGGGGATAATACAGAATTTAGCCTGACTTTAACACAAACTTTTTTCTTCTTATATAATAACATTGTCAACATAAATATCATAGGAGATTCTTTTTTAACACATCATAAACATATGCTGATTTTCATAATTCATTACATTAAACAAATCAAACAATCTACACATTTCTATTATCTTTATCAAATCATTCATTCGATGATACAGAAATACATTATATAAAATGACTTTGATAGATTTGCCACATTATAAGCTGCAATTTTGTAAATCGCGGTTTATGATTACTTCGATATAGCTATTAACATTAAATAATGAGACGATAGTAAAAACAATTTAATTTGATTTTTTTCACTAATTGAAAAATACAAATTTCTAATAATAATAATAATGAATATCTGGGACTCAATTCTATACTACAAATGATCTCGTTGTGTATGTTTTTGTGATTTCTTGTTTATGGTGAGTTATTGCCATGTGATTGATGTATGTTATCAAGTCATAAATATACAGAATAAATCATCCGGTTTTTCTCGTGCTCTAATTGGAGAAGTTGGAGGCAGAAAGCTTAGTGGGACAATCAGCACTAGAACACATAGTAGTGGGGGGGGGTGACAACCAATTAATCATTGACAGACTCAATAATTTAATAATCCCATTGAGTGAGCATATAGAAATTGGAGATATAACAATAAGAAAATGTGTTCATTATCAACTGATAATAATAATTCAACTTCATGAGAAAGATGAACTGTTTCAAAGTAAAAAAAACAATCAGTCATAAATTTCAACTAACAACCAATTAGTTAATATTTAGGTAAACTTAAGTCCTAATATTACACACATGTGAAATTAGATTATTTTTAAAACCTTTCAATACATGGAATCGTATTTGTTTGAATAAATATATACTAACTGAAAAATTAAATACCGTGACCAGTAGAGTTTAGCTGAGTTGAGTGTGAGGAAGCTACCCACTGAAGACAACAGAAGTTGGTCCCGCAATATCATGAACTTATTGAAATTAGATATGTACACCAGAGAATCCCGGCTCAGTGGTCTAGAGGTTAAACATTCACGCTCTAGATAGAAGGTTTTGGGTTCGATTCTCAGTTGCGGGATCGCGGATACGCACTGGTGAGAAATCCCAAACCAAGACGAAACAACTGCCCAGCGCTTCCAGATTTCCAATAGTTGTCTAACTTAGATCGGTTAGTGATCCCACAAGCCTATACCTATAAATCCCGAGGTTTTTCCATGTGTTTTATTACTATAGAGCTAACCAAAAATAGTGAAAATATCATTACTATTATTCATTGCCTGAACAAAGGAAAAGTATGTTAAATATGTAAAAGAAAAAAGTTCACTGTGCACAACTTATAAATACAACAATACACCAGTAACATAAAAAGTAAGAATCCACAATATGAATAACCAATCCCAACAATTTTTATATTAGATTTAATAAACGTAATGCACATAGTGCATAAACACTCATTTGATACCAGAAATGTGTGAAAGTAGTTTATTTTCGGAAATTATTGATACCATGCATTTTTTTCCTCGAATAGATTTGATATAAAGTAAATTACGAAACGATTGATTACAAACATTCACATAAGATTCTATTACATTTAGTGTTAAGGAAAAAATTACATATTGTATACTTTTTTTAAGAAGTAGGAGTAGATTCTATAGTTGATTCATTTCATAACATAATTAATGCAACTCTAATACACATAAAGGTAACGTGTATTTAAGGTTCTCTGCATAAATGATAAATGGATCGATAAAGCTATGATCTTCCATCAAGTACGGCGGTTGCATTAAAATTGTTATGCATATTTGGTTAACATATATTTTTAATAAACTGAATAAACGCTAGTTATAAATAAATTACGACATGGTATCAATTCTATTTAAGCTGTATTGAAAGCTGAAGACTGGTTTTTGGTAGGAATATTTCTTTTTTGCAATGATTGTACTATGGTATAGTCAAAAGCTATCAGTCAATCAGCTACAACGTAGGACTAGGCATATATATATATATAAGAAAAAAAAGCTATAGTTGGTATTAGCTTAAAATAGATTCCCAAGAAATAGATACTTTCATTATCTAAATCTTTTATTAAAACATACATTTTTATGCTTCTTTTTATTTAACTAAACTTCTAATTTTTAGTATATTTGGTAGTAGGTGGCCAGTAGTGTAATAATATTTTAAAGTAACGAAATGCTTTCAATCAATTTCAGTCGCGGTTTTGCAGTTAGATCATGTTTTTTAAAATTTATTTTTAACTCGGTTAGCTACCACCTTTTAGTAAATATGAATTATAGATAGTTATTAGTGGAATCCACGACACGCGTCTTAACCCCCATTTGAAACTCAGTGGCTGAATGTACATATAACCTAGTACTAATATTCTCACTGAGATTTGAATCTAGTATATTTCGCTTCAGATGCCCAACGCTAAGCTACTTTGTTCAGATAACTATGAATTTCTTCAATAGGTATGAAAGTATTATTATGAGTTAATAAATTCCCATTGTTGATATTTAAGACTATACTTAATCGATCTCTGTTGCTAATTATGGCAAAACGATATATCACGCCAAACCACTGAGAACGATGAGTATATTCCAACAGAAACTGATCAATTACAGTCCTAAATATCAACAATAAGAAATTACAAACCCCTTCAAAATTTAACATGTTTAGTCTTTTATTTCAAAAGTTGAAATCATGAGTCAATTGAAGCTAGACCACCATAGAAAACCTGGAAGCACTGAACGACCGTTCTGTCCTAATACGGGGCTCCTCAGCAGTGCACATCCACGATCCCACCCTCCGCGAGATTCGAACCCAGGACCTATCATTCTCGCGTGCACTGCTGAGGAGTCTCACACTGGGACGAAACGGCCGCCCGGTGCTTCCAGGTCATCCATGGTGGTCTAGCTTCAATTGATTCATGATTTCAACTACTGAAATTTCCAAAATCTTCACAAAACCCCCTCTAATAATAATCTTTTATTATCTTATTGATATTATTATTGCAACCTCATTGCTTTTTCATCCTATGAATTTTATCTCTGTTAGTGTGTTGATATGTATGCAGAATAACACGAACCAACATATCCCTTGTCATTCATATGTATATTACTGAACTATTATAACATTACTAAACAAACATACATATTGTTTACTTTGATAACTGAATGAACAAATCGCAGATTAATAATAAAGAAGTAGAATTATGGACATTGTGGTATGCCAATGAGTGATTGCATGTTAGTTCGCTTATTAAAATGATAGGATACAGAAATATGATTGTTGGAAAACATTTCAGACATAAACATCAACGTTATTACACTAAGTACAAAAATATAGACAGTTACGTCAGTAACAAGAAATCATTATGTTAAATAAACAAATATTCTTTATATTCACTTGGTACTTTTTACTTGAATCTTCCCATTCATGTTTAGGACTGCAATTGATCAGTGTTTTATTGGTATATGTACATACTGTGCATATTGCCTCGATATTGCCTTAATTCACAAGCATTATCAGCAAAGATGGATAGTGGCTAGCAGTGGAATCCAGTTTGACGCGCGTTTCGTCCTATTTGAGACTTGTCAGCTGGATGCACCTGCATCCAAGAGTTGATGTTCAATACCAAGTGAAATTAAACTTTACCCTATTGCACAAGTGGCTATCAGGACTCAGTAGCTAAGCGGATAACGCGATGGCGTTTGAAGAGAATGGTACTGGGTTCGAGTCCCGGAGTGAACATCAACTCTGGAATGCAGATACATACAGCTGACAGGTCTCAAACAGGACGTAACGCGCGTCCTGGATTCTACTGCTAGCCACTAGCCATCTTTGCTTATAATTATTTCTTATGACTACATGATTGTTTATACGCCATTTTGATAAGTATTACGTAACACACTTATTATTACACTTGAGGATAAATGAAAATTATTATCTGTATTATAGAAATCTAACAAAAGTCAACAGTACTAATCAATGTGAAGCTTGGAAAATATGTTCATCGGCCAAAGTCACTACGCCACACCATGACATCAATTCAAAAATATTAGTAGCAAATAAAGCGAAATAAATAGGAAGATTAGGCAATGAGAATATGATTAAAAATAAACAGGGTGAAAAAATATTTACAAAAGAATATGAGGTTAAGTTATAGTGAAGAAAAATTGTCAATACAAGGATAATCAATGAAAGTAGGGAACAAGGCAAATATGGTAAATAGGCCGATGAGTTCGCAGGTTTTCATCGACTGAATTGCCTAATTTATGTATAAGACGCATGCTTAACAACTACTTAACTAAACGTGAACTGCTAATCGATATTATTTATCTATTTATTTGAACATAAACATTAATACAACAGGGCACTAAAATAAATATGCACCCCACAATAAAAATAAAGTTGTGAAGAGATAGGGAAATGAAAGTGAGCACAATAAAAAAAGAACATCGGTAGAATAAAAAGTTTGAAAAAAAAGCAGAAAAACATGTTGGGATACTCACTTCGTGAATGGATCAAAACAGAAACGTCTAGTTGTTCCAGGACAGACGACGCGCAGACCAGACATAAATGGTGAATGAAGAACTACACCAGCAACCTGAAGTTAATACATATTTTTATTAGAGATTTATGATAAATCGCATAAAATCAACGAAATCTAATTGCTTATTTCATATGCCAATTAAACGTCTAAATAAATTAAAAATATAAAACAATAAAAAGGATAAAATGCACCTCGCTTTGCTTTTCTTGACACACTCAGACAGAAGTGTAACAAAAATACTTCAACAGATGTATACCATGAATATTCGTGATTTCAAGAGAGAAGCAAGTTTTATTTATTTAATATACATACATACTGGTACAATGGACATCAAAAAGGTATGTACCATACAAATAAGAGGAAAATATTGTGAAGAAATAAAAGAGGGAACAACTTTCATACTTATGGACGAGCTGGGATGCTGTCAGGATATCCTTAGGATATTCTTAGTGGACCAATGTTCGAACCTTTAATCTGGAGCTGTAATCTATAAGACAGTGTAATAACATCAGGAAATGTAGACCTATAATAGCTGGCAACCAAACTACGTTTATAAGCCATTTGTCCTTTTAGGATTTTGAGGTTTTCGGGAAAAAGGATAGTGGACTCATCCCACCATTAGGCGTACCAAGACATTTAGAGACTGAAATTCAAATAATAGCCAAATGCTTTATCATCAATTTATATACACTATATGTAATTCACTGAAGTAACTGTTATCCAGTAATGATGACAAGGTGGGTAAAAATGAAGTCTGATAGTCAATGTCTTGATTTTAATGACAAGTGAGTATGACCTAGAGTTGGTTATGTATTAAATGAAGCTTAATTCGTATTTATTTTACGCGTTTAACATTTTGTAATTTACGTGTCAATTGATTAGGAAGAAAAAAATCTGATTTGCTAGACGATTTCATATTCTTTTTGTATATTGATATTAATTGAATTCGGTACTTGTGTTAATAATTCGGTCACGCGAATTATTATTATTATTAGGCAATAACTAATAATGAGTATTTTATAACAGTGATGGCAGAGATAGGATCAAATATTCGAAATATCAGTTGTTATGGATGAATGGTAATATTTATTCTTTCAATTGCCCCCAAATGCCCTGGTGCGGTCGAGAGTGGAGTAGGCCCGCCCTCACTCTCGAAATGCTCTCACACGGCCACGCGTATACAGCCTCTGCCAGGGAAATCCTACTCACTGCCTTCTCGTGGCGGGGGCGTTGTCTACGAAAATGAGAGGACGAAAAGCGAATGTCCGGCGCTTTAACCGGATCCCAAACCAATAGTGCACATGGGCTCCAGTGTCCTGAAGGAACAAATGGCGTATGAACCAATCGTTGGTCACTGGCTACCATGGGACTGCATCTCCTCACGATGCTCCACTGCCTTGTGGGTTAGACCTTTAGATGCAAGGCTCGGGGAGTGGCCCCCTAAGAAAACCACCTGCTTCGGTCTGGGCACCCGGGTGGTATCCCAGCCCTTACACAAATCGAATGATTCATGTGGCGCATATCTATTTGGTGCCTCCTTGTACCAATGTTTATGTATTTAAATAAAATAATAAATAAATACAACTGATCCAATCACAGTTAGAACCCATTTGAATATTGTATTAATATTTTCTCAATAAATGAAAATCCTATTAATATACTAACGATTTATCAGTTCAGAGTTTTAAGTATGATTAAGATAAAATAGAAATCTTAGTTCATACACTAGTTTAATAGTTACAACTACAAAGTTGACGAAGTTTTCTAGTTACTGACAATCCAAAAATTAGGCAAATAATGGCCGTCAGAATTCTTAAAAAAATTCTTTTATTTTAAATAGATGATTGTTATTTGTCTTATGAATATTCATTTAACGAGTTTTTAGAGTTTGTATATAAAACAAGCTCATATGACTGGTTAAGTTTTTAGCTGCAATAAAAACAAATATCACTTGAGTATACATATTAGTACAAATTTAATCGATGAAAGACTAAATAGGACGAAAAAAATGAAGGTACAACTGATCACAGAAATCAAATGGGGAAGTGAAGTAACTGTTATAACGCTCAAATTATAACCATCCAAGTCCTGCATAAAACCAACAGTCAGTCAGCTACAACGTAGGACCAGGCACATATGTGCATCGGTCCAGGTTGCCATACCTCATTAGCACAGCAAGATGAACACCGGATTCATAGGAGTGGTTAGGTCAAAGGTTGCAATAAGGATATAGTATAGGAAGAAAGAATTAGTTCGTAGACAGAAAGAATGAAGTGATTTTAATCTTTTAGTTTAAGGGAAGACAGGGAGTGTATACACCGACGCCATTGTGATCGATTCTGAGCCATGTCACCAAGAGTCTCCAACCATTGGTTACGGAAGTCACGCGGACCCCAACCAAGTAGTCTGCATCTACCAACATGGCTCAGACTAGAAGTTAGTGACTTCAGGCACTGATGCCACGTTTTGGTTTGGCCGCCCCTAACTTTCTTCCAACCATCCCCTACCCCGGTTAGCATTGCACGTCGTGGTAATCGGTGTTCAGGCATACGTAATACGTGGCCCAACCAACACCAAATTACATACACATATATATATTCGATATTAGTTAAACAATAATTGATGCTTATTATGTAGAAATTATAATCGAAAGTAAAATACCATGTAGTTCCGCTAAAATTCGGTATTCATTTCACCTGAAATTAATTTACTCAACAAGTATGTTGGTATACATAAATTATTATGGAAAGTATATCACCCCACATAGTTGACATATAAATATTTCTGTGATATGAATTATTTTTTGTTTGTCTACTGAACTACAACATTGAAATACAAAAGGTAAACACATACATACACAAACACACACACACACAGTGATTGACTATAACGAAAAATGTCACAAACGAAATTACATAAAACCGGGTTTTATCAATAAAATTGAATACTCCTTTTTTTTCTCTCAATTGAATAAAAACTGTAAAAGTTAGAGACAAATTTATGAATGTCAGGTACAAAACAAATAAATCAAAAAAATTTTTTTGGAATGACTGACAAGAATAATAATGGCAATATGTTTAAACCAGATATAAACAAAGAATTGGAAATCTAGCAATCAATAAGAAACTTTTATAAATTTTGATGGAGTTTTGTTCTCTAAACTGGATGATTTGGTTGTGGAGCTTTCATCGTTCTTCTGAATGACATCATCAGCAGCATAAACTTTAGATAGAAATGAAGTGTGTTCGAATTTCGCCACATGTAGTTCACAACTTGTCCTGTAGACTTTGAGGTCTTGAAGTTTGTGCTGACAGTGTCGTTCAGAAGAACGATGAAACCTCCACGATTAAACCACTCAGCTCAGAGAACAAAACCTCATCAAAATCAACCACCTGAGCTACAAATCTTCTCCACTATCCCACTTTAATAAATGTTTTGAGGAGAACGAAACAATGTTCCACTTGTACGATTAAACACATTATTTTAGGTTGAAATAGTAAGTCGACTTAAATGATTTAGATATGTTACATATGCCTTTTAGCCACCAAATACCATGAACTACAAAGCTGGCGTAGGAATAGGTTGAAATGGAATCTAAAAGTGACCAAATGAAGAAATCTCCAGAATTTTCCGAAGTCTTCTTGATATCGATAACCGACCTAACTTAGCTATAATTAGAAATCAAGCACCGGATGGCTTTTTGGTTTTAGTATAGGACACGAAAACACTGAGCATCAACGAACCTACAAGAAATTGAATCCAGGACATCCGATCTCTCTGAAAACGCTTGACTCCCAGACTACTGACTCGACATCCAGTTGTGTACACGTCTTACTTTAGGCTATGCTGAGATCAATAACTTTCGGGCTGAGCCATGTTGAAAAGTGTATATTTAATGGATTGAGATCCACCGTGATGACTGTTATCTCCATGGATTGTGCCGTTTTGCAATCCATAGTAGACGCACCATTACACTTGTTCTTTATATACCCTTCAATATTGAACTGAATGTGACTACATGATATGAATTCTGAAATTTAATTTTCTCCTTTTACATCACATTCCGTATGACTAACTCAATATTGTGACTTCAATTTACTAATGACTGACACAGCGTTAATAGCGAAAAACCCCTCATACTTTCCAATTATGCAATTGTTTATATCTCAATTTATATAACCTATAGTATCATGTGAACATAATACGTAGGTTCATTGAAAGAATATGTTACTCAGTGGATTATCAACGTTTTTATGTACAACAAATGGAAGAACATATGCACAACATCAAATTGCGAATTCAGCAATTCAATTTAATTTCACAGGTTGAAATCATGAGTCAATTGAAGGTAGACCAACATGGAAAACCTGGAAGCACTGGACGGCCGTTTCGTCATGGTATGGGACTCCTCAGCAGTGCGCATCCACGATCCCGCATCCCGCGGGATTCGAAGCCAGGACCTACTGATCTCGCGCGCGAGCACTTAACCAATAGACCACTGAGCCGGCATCCAACGGTGTTAATGTCTAACTTCAACCAATTCCATTTAAAGTCGAAGATAATGCACTATTATTATGTTCACATGACATAATGAGTGATGTGGGTCGAGATACGTTTTCATGGTTGTTGCAGCGATTGAAGATGAATTATTTGTCACTATTTCAAAAAATTTCGGGTTGTTTGTTGACTACTTGGAGAAATACAGAAATTAGGTTACTAACGAGGATGTTTCTTGACTGGATAAAGATGAAACAAATTCATGTTGAGAAACATATTTTCATTTATAAATACCGTCTAAACTGATAACATTAAGAAAACGATTTGTCAAATTTGTTTGAATAGTTGTGGACGAAGAAACATCACATCAGATTATTCTTTTTTCATTCACAAGATATTGACAAAAATTTTCAAGATTTCCAGAATCTTCTGTATTTCATTCATTTAAATAAACAATTTATTTACTTGGAAAATTTGCCGAAAAAATATGTTATGCCTATTCAAATTCTTTTGGTGTGTAATTTATAGCTCCCAGTGATGGAAACGCTATAAGAAACGGCATGTGGAGAAATAAATTATCTGCGGATGAGACTACGTTTCGGCCCGAATCTAAGTTAGTAACAGTGTGATGATTAGAGCTCATCGTTCCTAATGAGGTAATCATTGCGTAAACTGTCTTTTATATCGACTTTGATACAAAGTCGACCAATGATATAATTTTTCTAATTATCAATCTTATTAGACGATAAGTAACAGGATTACATAGGTCGAAAGTATGAAAGCTTCAACAGTAATGGACGATATTAGAATTACTAACTGCGAAGACCAAGAAATGACAATAAACCGTCAATTAATAAATCGAATCAATTTTACAAAAATCATAGGTATATGTACGTCTTCTTTTGAACCAAGCAAGGACATACAGACTGAAACCTTGACTAGGTAATTAATCCGCGTTCTTCAATATTATGCCTTATGTACAAACTCTCGCCTAACGTTTGGCCCTGAGATAACACATGGTCACCGGCATGTGATATGTCAAGATCCTTTATCCCCACCTTATCAATCTTATGATATGAGATGCGGCGAATTTACTTGAGATACATTTGTTCCAGACTCTACATTGTCACCGAACCAATTTCTACTGACTACCATCCAATAAATGCAGGTACTAAGGAATACTTTGTATAACAGTATGTAGTATTCCATTATAAGATTTGCAAGATCAAAGTTTGTATTTACGTCAGATTACAAATAGGTAAACTATTCTATAAATTAATACTCATATTAATAGTTAAATTACAAAAGAAACTTTGAACTGACAGAACAACTCACCTGTATAATGTTATTTTATTAGTTTTCAAGATAACAAAGAAATTATTTCTAGAATTAATCACAATGACTTAAAACTCATCCACCTTTCTTATTACCGTTAAGATACTAAATGTTTTATTACTCCTTATTTAACTTTTCTCTTCAACCTATGTTTATTTAAATGCAATCTTAATCCTATCAACCTCAACCATTTTGAGTGTACGTGAAATTTAACAACTTAAACGGAAAAACTTCTCTGAGATGTTCTACGTTGATATATTACTCAAATCTATCAACAATTACTCCACTAATAAAATATGTTGATAAATGGTTGTTATTGCATAATTAAACAATGAGATGGAGTGGGAAAAAAAGGATTTAAGATAGAACTAATTTTTTCATACAACTGTTATCATTCTAATTCAAATTAAACAATCAAGTAGTTGGCTTCCACATATGCCTATTACTTTCTTATAACAAATGATTAAAACTTGCCTTAAATTTAGGCAAACTTCACAATTGAAACATACAAAAATTTTCATCCATAACCTGTCAAAAATACTAACATTCTCAAGTGCATGTACTCATATATATATCACAAATTGAAACAAACATACTTTATATTTAGTCGCTAATTCAACTGTTGGAGCAGTACCAATACTCTGTCCATATAATACAATACGATTAAGTGGCACATTAAATCGTTCACGTAATTCATTCAATACTGCATCAGCATCAGCATATAAATTCTCTTCTAACCGTTGACCAGAGCTTCCCCCATAACCTGAATAATCATAGCATAAGATATTTACACTGAAACGATATGCTAGTGACTGAAGAAATCCAGCCATCTGACAAGAAAAAAGTAGGGCGGAATAAGCAATTAGAAAACAAACAAGAATAATTGGTTTTAGGTTACAACTGTCAAATACATAGGGCATCAAAATATCGATCTAAAGCAATTAACTTAACATCAGTTAGGTCAAATTTTATATGTGACAACTTTTTTGCCTTAATAATTAATAATATATTGGTGTATGCTTGTTTGACATTAAATGCGGCACACAATCGTTAAATAACCATATACACAGATAATGATGAACGATAAAACAACAACATATAACATGACAAGGACTAGATCTGTACAGTTCGAGTAAAGCTTCTGTTTAAATATCAGGAGCTCTTATTAGAATTATATAAATATAAAAAATGAAAGACAGAAAATCTAGAACTTTAAACCAATTTTATGACTAATTGATCATGTAATAGAGAAGACAGACGTGTGTGATTCTTCATACGTCTGGTTACGTCAGTACACTACATGATTACCTCAATTTAATATTAAACTAGGTTTTGCTGAAAATTAGTCCTAAGACATTCATAAACTTTGGTGGAAACAAAATATTCATTAGGAATGATTTACAGGTTTTAAAGTTAGATTATTAAAAAGTCTACAGGAAACCTTGGATCTAGGTTCCTTATTGGTTGCACTCAACAATATGTACCTGTAGTCTGTGAAGCTGGTTGACGCGGAATTACGAAAGTACCAGTTCCTCGAAGAGTGTGAGTAAACCTTGTTAACGAGTGCTAACTAGTGCAAAAAATAGGTTCAGGGTTTATTCTAGACTACCACCAGCGACCTAAGATCAGAACATAGTCCATACGATATCGAATCACAAACGACTAATTACAATGAAATTTGATCGATAAGATTCGATCTTCATTAAGGAACAGACAAACACAACATTGGCCAATACCCAGTGGCCAAACAACATAAACAGTTTGTATAATTAAACCCTATATTGTAATTTTAAATGTACTTTTTGAATCACTGCATTTACAGATGATGCATTAGGCCTATATTATGGGAATTTCAAGTGATTCACGGGATTGCTGAGAACTAAGATGCGAAAATAGCTCCTGTAATCATTTCCTCCATAGAGAAAATGGAAGAATACAGGAAGAAGATAACCACAGTGAAAATACAACCACCATCAAGCAATGCAATGATTTACGGTACTTTACCACAATACTAGGTAAATGTGTGCGACGGCTGCTAGTATAGAAGTAGGCTGGGAGAAAGCTAGAGGCGGCCAAACTGAAAAGTTGGATTATCCCGTGAATTCACTAACCGCTGGTTAGAGCCATGCTGGCAGATACAGACTACCTGATCAGTGTTCTCATCAGGACCGTTATCGGTTATCGAAGGCGTTGGATGAAGCAATAGACCCATCGTTAATTTTGCCTAATATTTACTTGTAAAACGAAATTTCTTCAATGAATTAGATTACATTACCAAATACTAATGAATAGCTTTTCAAAGGAATGTGAACACTTAAACTAGAGCACTCTGTTGTATCGAGAACAAAAACATGTAAATGCATAAATTCTACACGTGACTCGTTAAAAAGGACGTGGACTTTAATGTAAGGAGAGACAATTTGATAAATGCATTCCAAAAATAGATATCTTTCTATATTTTTAGATGAAAGACTAAAAGCAGAAAACACATAAATCAACACTTAAACAAAAAATCAATTGAGTGAAAGAAAGTTTACTTTTCAGGTTACTAGGTTATGTAATTTCAATCTGAATGAGAATATGCCAGTTTGCTAACATGTCAAATCATCAAGTTAGAAGAAATGCACATATATACAAATCTAAACTGAAATAATTACTTTTGATTCTGTTCATATGCGGGATAACAAAACGGATTACTATTGACTGAAACAGGAAATGAATAAAAACCGTAATGTTGATATTTGGTGTGTGGTTAAATCCAAAGTTAGTTAAATTAACCGATGAACCCGCTAATCAGGATTGAGTAGGGGAGCTAGAGCGTGTTACGAATTCATTTTTCAAAAAATAGAAGGAAAGCCGACAAATATAATTTGACGTGGAATACGATATGAACCTCATGTTTCATAAAATACAGTACAGTCCAGCTACCAATTTTTTCTATTAACCATATATACCGTAACTTGACGATCCAACCCCAATGAGTAGGACAGGATTAAAGTTCTTAATCCAATAGATTGAAGTCAAATGCTATAATAAGTAAACTGCTAATCTGGAAAGTCTGGTCATAAGCAGAATATTTCAGGTTTTTAGTATTTCAGAGTTGGTTCGTATGTAAATAGATTACTGTTATTTTTCTCTTTGATAAACATACCTGACCAATATCAACTGCGTTTCCATGACTGAATAACACCGTATAAGTTGGTTGATGTGATGAGTTAGGTTGAACTGATCCGAACCGACCTTCGTCTGTAAGAGTTGGACAACTAACACTAAGTGCAGGACTTCTCATTCTTGATTGACCAGAAAGGCCACGACGAGAGGATATATTTGACGAGAACTGAGAAGGTGAGACAACAGAATTCGCTGGGATATGCATACAAACAATTCGAGATTGACGCTTTGTCAAAGTATAGAAAACCTAGAGGAATAGAGTAAAAGGTAACAATATACTTGCAAAATCATCAGCACCGACAGTCCCAGATCAATAAGGTCAAAGTGAATATATCGTAATGTGAGTGTCTTTGAAATCTATTAGGATGAAACGCTGATTCCGTTTAAGGACACCTAAGATACAAATGACCCTAAGATCATAAACAGAAAGAAAAAAACTAAAGACAGGATGTTTAGAGCCCTCACCAAAGAACGAAGAACGGTGGTCCAATCGCTGAATCACTCGACTTTTAACAAATGAATACGTAAATTTGATCGAGTAAGTATCCACCCACACAACTTTCATATCATGTTTTACGATACAGTTGAGTACAGCAATCATTCGAGACACCGCATTTCTTACAACCAAGTTGTTAAGTTGGTCATGGATAACAGTAAGGTCGAGTACTAAGCAACAAGACGAAAACCAAATCACTCAAACTTCGTATGATTGCTTTTCGTTTTGGAACGAATTCGATAATGTGAAAGTTAGGTAGAATAGGTCAATTTTTATACATATCAGTATATTTGAAAAGCATGAATCTGTACCCCGAAAAGTTGTAGCTAGGCTTTCTAAGCACTCAGATTAATCATTAAGTTGAGAGTTCGAGATCATCTTTATCAACGTTAATTTGATTGGTCACGTAAAAACACTGGTAATAATAACAGTGAACTTAATCCAAGTAAATTCATTAATGTACAGGGATGAGTAACAGATTTTTTTAGTTATCTATACTACTCAAGTGCCTAAACCAACGTATGGTAGTATTATATTTAAATCTGTAAGTTGAAAACTATTTTAATACTGGCACTATATATCTGTTAAACAACAATAACACCTTAGCGATTAAAAGTTTCAGAAGAAATGACGGAGACCGTATGGGGAGAGTTGTCCTTATAACAATACACTATAATTATACTTCATCCACCCCACCATTCGAGGTTCTAGGTTAACACTAACATATAAACTGAAAGAGTGCATCCCCACTAACTAACTTATTGATGTTTAACCTAATACTACGTTCAAAATTTGAAAAACTACTTGGATTGTCCGGAATAAAAATGGGTAAAAACGTTCTAGACTAATACCTATCAGTTAAGTACCTACCACATATCTAAATTAACATAAAATTTTAGCAAAATATTATTCGGGACTTGTTATTTCTGTACAACCAAAAAGTTATTATTAGTTTGATCTAATAATTTTCAAAATAAAAAACATGAACCATCCAGGAAGGTTTTGAATTTAAAGAGTTATTCTGAGTCGAGATAACTGCGAATAAAACTAGTTTGTCTGTATTTCAATACTCGAGAGTATTGCACATGTTTTCATCAAATCAATACCAAGCATAGGAACACGACTTGATTATCAAGTGTAACTTCATGATTTAAATTAACAATATTCATTTGGAACACTTCACGGCAGTAAAAAATAAAAACTAAGGTAAACAAAATAAAAATACAGCCATAAACATCATGCCAGAACAATAAAGACCATGTCGTCAGGGACTATCTGGAAGAAACTAAGGTCATCAAGAACAATAAATGGTAGAATATGATAATCACTTACCGTTAACTTGGATTTTATGTCCTCGGATATTTGCCAACCAGCTTCAGGTTTGAACTCAATGCAACATGTGGAATCATTCGCTGATGATATGATAGAATAAGTTGGTGGTGGCGGTAGAAATGCCAATTTCGCCACGATATGAGAAGGTCGGGGGGGACAACAAAATAACTGACATATCTCGCCAAAAAGACTTGACATACTAACCATTTGAGGTCGTGATAGATCCGAAAGAATGGAATGATATCAGGTTTAAGAATCCAGTTTGATCAGCTCTATAAATGTAAATTAGCAACAAATATGTATCACACTGAAGAAACAACCATGAACTAAATAGAAAATAAGTATTAAATGATGATCGATATCACATAAACCGCAAAAAATTAGGACTGGGATCGCAAAAATGAACGAAACAAAACAGAACGACTAAATCTCATTGCGAATGACAGGGTGTATTTCTACTTACGAATCCTTGTATCAGTTCAACACCACACAAAATTTTGATCTGGAATGCGGTAGAATTTTAGTTTCATAAATATGGCGAGAGTAGATAAACACATTTCCGATTTTTTTTAGTACCACCACAAGTGACACGTGAGGATGCAAAGCACATAAATTAATTAACTCGATAAACAGTAAATAAAGATAGGACCCAGAAATAATAGGGTCTGAAAAACATGCGAAATAAACAATTCCGAAGCTCTGACTTGGATCGCACAACTCTTACCTAAGCTATCAACCATTATAAATAGCGAACTAATTGCCAAGACAAGTCATCAGATACAACAAATGCATATAAGCATATATATGTATCTATATCTGTAAATTACACAAGCATTTAGTAGAACTACTCAGAAGTGAATGCACCAACAACTCCACAAGCACATTAACACGTCCTTTACAGGTAAACATCATACTCAGCTTTAATATTACGCGTTTGTTCATGTTTATTTATATCGGCTGCTATAGCAGTCGCCTTCTTGAAATAAATGAACTTGTAAGGACAAGCAAAGTGACCGACTTGGGTCCCAGTCGACTCCTAGTTATCCACCTTTCAAACTTTGTTCTTTTTGCTCTGTCCTTTTTACATTAAATCCTACCTTTGATGTCTAGTAATCTAAGAAAAGTATTGATGTCTAGTATCGTGATAGAATTAACACAGACTGATTAATTTTTCTCAACCACACTGTCAAACACTTCTGCACAATGGGTTGCCAATATACTGTGTGGAAGGTCCAATATGATATACCAACCAAAGCTCAAAACCAACCCATTCAAAAACCCGCTAGAGTAGTGAGCAGCCTTTCAAATTCAAGGACAACATTTCAACCTCAAGCTTCAAACACTCAAACTCTCATACTTTGATTCCAAGAGCTGGAAAACTGCAATCATTTAATACGTCCGTCTGTGTTATATAAGTGATCCTTGTGTCACTGAAAGTCGTGATTCTAGTAGGATAAAAACAGTGATAAAATATAGGAGTTATCAAGAGATAGTACCTAGAGTAGTCTCCCTCAGCACCTTCAAATGGTTCAAATGGTTGTGGACGGAATAGAAGAAGCTTTCGCTTAACAGGCTTCCGTGTCTAGTAGCAGGGGATCACCAAATCCTCCAGGCAGGAACCTCGGTATGTTAACAATAAAAGAGGAAAAGAAATTGATAAATCATAGTGTGATGCTGACCTTGGTCCTTAAGAATAGGTCAAGTTGCCTCTTGAAGGACTCCTGAGAAGTCACTTGGACTAGCTCGGCCGGCAGCGAATTCCAGCTTTTGACAACTCCTAAGGAGTAGAAGTTGTGTCCACATTCCGTCTTGCTATGTTGTGTTTCCAGTTTCTGGGTGTTACCTCTTAGGTTATTATTTGAACTAAGCTTAAGTAAGTGTTTAAGAGGATGTCCAGAAGTGTTAAGAATACTAAAAGCCATTAATAAATCACCTCTAAGACGTCTATACTCTAATGAGTAAAGGTCTAGTGAATGGAGGCGTTCTTCGTATGGTTTAGATTTGAGTCCTCGAACTGATTTCGTGGCTCGCCGTTGGATACGCTCCAAAGTGACCTTGTCCTTTTGGAGTGAGGGAGGGAGTACTATGTTTCCGTACTCTAAATGGGAACGGACAAAACTGCTGAAGATTGTATGGAAAGTTCGTCCGTCAAACTGTCCAAAAATGCGCTTCAATGTTACCAGTGCAAGGTTTGCTCGGAAGGCATTTTTGTCACAGTTAGCGTAAGACTTTAAATCGTAGGGCACCAGGACTCCCAAATCTTTTTCGACTTGAGATACTACTAGAGAGGAGTTTCCTAAGTTGTAACTGTAGTTTGCGACATGTCGCAGATGGACTACTTTACACTTTGAAGTGTTAAAGGTAAGTCCGTTATCGTCTGCCCAACTTTGAAATCGCGTCAGATCCTCCTCAAGTGCCTGTATATCGTCTTGGTTGCGTATCTCTCTCCAAAGTTTCACGTCGTCGGCAAAAAGTAATAAGTCTGACGATACCTGTTGTGTAAGATCATTTATGTAAATCAAGAAGAGAAGAGGCCCTAGTACTGAGCCCTGGGGGACTCCACTATGACATTCCATAGCCTGAGATAAAGTGGTGTTGATTCTGACACTAAAATATCGATTTTTCAGGTGTGAAGTAGGCCAATCAATTAGAGGTGATCTGATACCCAATCGTTTGAGCTTATTGATGAGACGTATATGGTTAACCTTATCAAAAGCTTTTGAGAAATCAATGTAAATGATATCAACATTTCCCTTGTGATCGAGGATGCTTGTCCATCTGTCCACCGCAGTCAGCAGGTTGGTTATACAAGAGTAACCCTTCCTGAAACCATGCTGTTGGGGTGAGAAGAAATTTAAGGACAGTAGATAGTCGTTTAAGCCGTCGCATGTCAGGGACTCCATGAGTTTTGAAGGTAATGATAGAAGAGCCACCGGCCGATAACTTGAAGGTTCATTGCGTCGACCACCTTTGAAAATTGGTGTGATGTGAGCCAACTTCCAATTTTCCGGTAATTTGCCTCGGCTAAGCGAGTGTGAAAACATCACGCTAAGCGGCGTTGCCAGGATTGAGGCTGCCTCCCTTAGTATGGCAGGATGAACCGTATCCGGGCCAGGAGAAGTGTCAAGTCTTAGGTGCTTCAATTTCCGGAACACCAAGTCAGCGCTTAGGTCCACTTCAGAAAGTCCTGTGGAATCGCAGATGAAACTGTCGTCAATAAAGTTGATGTCAGCCGGTTGAAATGTTTGAGAGTAATGTGCCGCCAGAAGGTTAGCGGCGTCGAAGAAGAAAATAAACGTTGAGTTTTCTTTTGAGTGAAATCAAAAGAAGGTGGTCTTCACTATCTTCTCCACAGTTTACGAATTCTAATCACGAAAATATCCCCGTGTGCATTTTGTTGACAGTTCGACAAGAAGTTGGAAAATTCTCCAATCAAGCCATTAAGAACTCCACAATTTTTGAACAAACCTGTCAAACTGACTGCTCTTTCAAGCTACACTTGATCTCAAGGATGTGATTATTTTTTGTGGGAGTATGTCATCCACAAATCCTTTAGGAACAGAATATTCATTCGTAGGAAGAACTGTGATAGAGCACCCAAAATAATCCCACTCCGTACCTTTGGACCTGGTGTAAATGTCTAGCGCTCTTATAACGTAATTACCAAGAAGTTTTGTTAACATCCATTCTACGAATCAATTATGTGACCTATACTGTTACCATGAAAACATTTGCGTGTGTTTTCGTGAACGCTTTCCTATATTTTACTCGTAAGTGATGTTCTCCTAGCTGCTGTTTTGTGCTGAACCCTAGCCAGATTGTTTGTCAAGCTGAACTCGCACACCCCATAGATGACTGATGAATGATCGTTGGATATCGTGGTCATGAATGGCTAACGTGGATTGGTCAACCAGTGCCGCTAGTCTGGTAGATATAACAGTGGAATCGCAATTCAAGCTCTTTGGCGCTCTCTAGTCAACTTAAACCAATAAAACACTTCAGTGGTTAGATTCTACACGTTCACTAAGTGCGTCGCGAATCTAAATCAACACGGTCACCAAGTTGGAGTTACTCCGACTAGTCAGTCTTCGTTGGGTTTGACTTGACCATAAGATTAATTATGGTGCAATTCTTCAACAAACTAGCCCCAGCCGTTACGACAACTTAGATCGAGAAGATTATAGATGATATCGCACAGCGCATTGATATCTCCCCACCTACCTTTATCCCTTCGAAATTGAACTCCCGAATATCACATTAGCTGGGTCAACGTGGAGTAATTTGGAGCTGTTTATTCAGTGTAGCTTACTTATTTACTTACTTATGCCTGTTACTCTCAATGAAGCAGAGACCTCCAACCGGAATTCCCCAACACACTCTGTCCCACTCTGCCTTCCTTTCTAGTTCTATCCAATTCTTGTTTGTTCTTCTCATATCTGTCTCCACTTCTTGGTGTAATGTGTTCTTTAGTCTTCCTCAACTCCTCCCTTGACCTTGAGGATTCCATGTGAGGGCTTGCATTGCGACGCAGTTGAGTGTTTTCCTCAGTGTGTGCACTATCCAATTCTAGCTCTTCTTTCTGATTCATTCCTCCACTGGAAACTGGTTTGTTCTCTCTCAAAATAGGTTGTTGCTATTGTAACGTGTTTTGTCCATCACAAGAATCCAGTATGTATTATCATTATTATTATTTGCATGTAAAGTGTCGAGCAGTTTATTCCATTTCATTTGGTTTTTAGGAAACGCTAGTCCATCGGTAAGTAGTAAGATTATCAGTATCTGGTGTTATTTGGGAATGGTTACTTGTCCTAATTTGTTCTTTCGTCATCAATGGTCTCGATGGTATTGGAATTCGAACCATGGCACATCTCAGTGTATCGGAACAGATAAGGAGAATTAATCAGCTCCAAAGGAGTGGGATGTATAGATAATAATCATACCATTTACATCGTCTGATGATGAGGTTCATTGTCACTTATTTTGATGGTAAGATGGGTGTCAACTAGGTTGTCTTGTTGAAGCTTGTTGATAATTATCAATTCACACCGAGAGCAGATTTTCTCAAGCTTGTTTATACAAGTTGTTTGATCGGTCCGCCTGTGATCCAGTCAACTACATCCTGAAGGCGATTACTGTCCTGGACGAGCAGCTGTGACTTGAGGTCACCAACAGTAGAATTATATTGTAATATTGTGTTCAAATTTTTCTCGCAAATTACAAGCAATGAACTCAAATATATAGCTCTATTAATAATTATAACAGTTAATAATAATAATATATTTTTGCATGTGCAGGTACACACCGTTTTTACAGGCATGACCTATAAATTAGAAAACTTGTTGGTTCGCAAAATGCTTCCCAACTTATTAAGTCTATAGTTGTGATAAAGTGAAATCGTAGAGCGCTTGCTTTAAACTATGACCTTGAGAGGACGCGTAGGTCAAGTTTGTTCCCAACGTCAGAAGTTTCATAACTATGCTCTCAGAGCAAGATTCTGAAGAAGAAAAAAATAGAAACGGAAGAGCAGCAAGGCACTTGGACATGAACGCCAAACGTTGCTTAACATTGTGTAGTAGAACGGACAGAGGTATAATAAACTAGAATAAATTCATTTTATGTCTTGTTAGAGTGAAGTGAAGTCAGAGGCTCCATATTAGAGAATGTACTAATGAAGAACAATGAGTTGTGATGTTTAACAAGTTCGAGTAAGCTCACATGAAGGAAGGGAAGTCAAGGTTGGTACAAGGGAAGCGGTTTATTGGAAGGGTGTGTATATAGAGGGTGAAGTGTTAAGAATACTAATGACTATATCTTTTGTTGTCTATTTTTTTTCTTTTTTTGTCTACCCGATGCCAGCCACACAATCCTAGTGTAAAAGTCCGAGTTAGCATGTTGTAGGTTGTCTTAGTAGAATAGCTAATCCAGCATAATATTGGAAACATGAGTCTGAGTTGTGAGCGTAGGAAGACAATCTATATCACAGATTGATTGACTTATTCTCAATCATGAGGAGCCTGATGCATACAAAATGTTCTGTCCCCACAAACACGGGCGGATTGAAGTTATCGCCCTCACCATCAATGCTTGCTGGTCAGTAACTCCATCCTCCCTCCTTTTGTGATGTTAGGCTCATTTAGGCTTATTTTTGTATATACGTCATACCTCACACAATCCTCTGTTACACAACCTGTTCGAAAGCACTATTTCTATAAGTATCATTTTGCAAGCTTATCAGGTAGTTACAAGCTATGGACTGTGGGTAAAGCATCGATGCAGTGTCTCTGTTGACTATAGTATAAAG